GGGAAAGAGGAGCTCTAACCCCTATGCATGAGTCAGTTGGCATGGATGATTGGCAAAGCTACAAAATTACAGCACAGCTAACCTTCAACCTAGCAAAGATATACATGCCTACTCTGGAAAGTATACCCTAAATAAGCCTGCAGGAGTATGAAACCACATATTCAATGTAACTTTTCGTAACAGTGAAAGACCAGAATCAACCCAAATGTCCCTCATAGGACACTGATTAAATAATTTACAGTGTATCTATAAATGGAATCCTATCCAGGAGGAAATGAAAGAGAAAGAAGAGAGCAAGAAAACTAGATGTTCGTATGGAAAGATTTTCAAAACGTAAGTGAAAAAAAGGAATGCATAAAGCACTACTTAGTTTATTAAATAGTCTATGTAAGAAAAAGGAGAGGGGAACAAGAGTATTCTAATTTGTCTGTACAGGCATGTGCCAATCTGAAAGGGCGGAGAAGGGAAGGAGAGACTTCTCTGTATGCTAATCAATATATGTTTTCATTCTTGAACCAGGAGGTGATATTATCTACTTTAAAAAAACACCTTAAATGGGACCAGCAGTTAGCGTAATGGCTATGTCACTGGACTCCCATGTAGCCAACCGCGGTTTGAGTCCTAGACCCGGTGGCTTAAACTCACGCTGGGTGCGTGTGCGTGCGCGTGCGTGCCCAGGATCCCAAGAGGAGAATGGAGAAGAAGGGATTGTGGCGTGGGGGGTGATTTCTCGCTTTCTCTCAGTCTCTGTCTGTCTGGCGAGCGCACGCGCCCTATAGCAAAAAAAAACCAAACAAACAAACAAAAAAACACCTTAAAGATAAAAGCCACTGAAGATTTCAATTACTTACCTTAAACTAAATTCCGACTTCAAAAAACATTGTAATTAAGTGAAACACAAATTTTAAAAAAAATCCTCTGTATAAAATATGTTAGATTGCCAAATAGTCCAAAAAACATCGGAGTATTTCAACATCGAGATCCAAAAACACATGGCTATTTAAAAACTTCAGCAGATTATCTTCAATCAGTTCAAATACATGACAATTACTGAGTTACATGAGCACCCAAGAGGTTTACAGTAATTCAGGTCAAGTTCAAAGCTATACTATTCTCAGATCCCTTTCTTCATTTCTCTCTAAAATGACTTTATGAATATATACATATATCACATTTAAAGGATGGAGAAAATTCACAATTTTCTACTTACATTTTCATTTTTCAAGATGAGTTTCAGAATTGCTTCTCTTTGTTTTAGAGCCTAAAACCAGGACAATTTCTAATTAACATTTTTTTTAACAAGGATCAACTAGCTTTCTTAATATTTCTTCCCTTTGTAAATTACCTGACAATACCTAAGGTAAATGACAGAAACCTGATAAAGTCAAAGGTCTAGATTCGAGACTCGAGGAATATCTGCAGGTATCCTCCTGAACTGTCTTCTTATTCTGTATCCCCAGTGCCTAGGACAATGCCTGGGAGATAACACGTCCTTAATGTTTATTGAGCAAGTAAACGAATAGCCGTAAGTACTAAGTCTTCCTTCGATAGCTCTGCAATCTGCTATTTTTTCCTTCATTTATGAAATGAAAATGTACCACTGCCATAAAATTTTTACCAGTAATTGAGAGAGATGGCAACAATACCCTCAATTTCTCCATTTTAATATATAACTTGCATGTTCACTAATCTGTATTAGTGAGTTTTTATGTAGTGTTAATATCACATTGGTTTACATACCTGTATGCTTTTCACCCTGGGGATGCCTCACATGAGTAAACTAGAGAACAGAGACTACATTTATCTCTTTTATGGAAGACCTTACTTTTAAGGAAACCAAAACTGTAGTTTACATCTTCTTATCGTCCTACCTTGAAATCACTGAAGTGGCTAGGCAAACTGGAGGTAATTATAAACAGTTGTTACTCTGTATTTATTATTGTTACTCTGTGGATTCAACCCAACACAGATGCGGCCACGCCAGGCCAACTGTTATGCAATGGGGGAAGTGGCTCCCTAAAAGAAACCTCTTCTGGGACCAGCAGATGGTGTAATGGGTATGTCACTGGACTTCCACATGCCCGACCGTGATTTGATTCCCGGACCCGGAGGCTTGAACCTCATTCCAGGTGCATGCGCATGCATGTCCAAAATCCCAAGAGGAGAATGGAGGAGAAGGGATTGTGGCATGGGTGTCACCCTGCGGGGTGATTTCTGGTTTTCTGTCTCTCTTGTATAAGAAATTTATCTATATATTGCCTTTTCCCTCTCATCTGGTGCTAAAATTACTCAGTAATCTAGAGATGATTTACAGTATACAGGAGGATGCGGGGAGGCCATGTACAAATGCTATGCATTTACATGGGGGACTGAACAGCCACAGATTCTGGCGTCCCCCACAACAGATAGCAAGGGACAAGTGAATTTTGAAAGGTAAACATTAATCTTAGAAGTGTAAAAAAAAAAAAATCAAGGAAGGACCTGGAAATTAATTGTGGGTTTTCTCACTCCATTCCTCCCTAACTGTCATCCCTAAGTCTTATAAAACAGAACATTCCCTTCTTTAAAATCACAGAAGACTTGTAAAAACGTGAATATTTAACTATTTATGATATCAATCGAGACCACCTACAGGCTGGTTGATATGAAATCTTGTCGGCATCCTTCTCATTATGGCCGAGTCAAGGTCCTGAGGACGATTGGTCGCTCCCATCACTATGACCTAAATATGGAAAGATAACTGAAGGTATTAAATTTACCAATACTACTGCTTTGAGGTTATTATTAGGGCTTGTATAATATCTGATTTTAATTTGGTATTACTCAAATATTTATAGATACAAGTTGAAGTTAGTCCTAAAAAGATCAAACAACAGCAAAACTAGGAAGACGAATGCATTTCATTGGACTTCCAGTTACTAAAAAATGTACTGTTTAGTTGTAAGCACCTTTACTAAAGAATTATAAATAGCTCTAAAAACTATTGTATTTTGCAAAATAAAGTTGCTTACTTTACACATGTTTAATGACTAAAAGCCACTGATGATATAGCACTGAGAATACAGTTTGGAAATATGTACGGTCCCTTAATAATCATATCACCAAAACGATCATTTCCCCTTACGTCCGAGGATTCTGGTAACAGTTATAGATAGTGTGTACTTCTCTAGATTTCACATCGTCTCGTGGTACTGTCAGCACTACGAGTGGTAGCTTATTAACGCTAAATAAAATCTCAAGCACTCTAACTCTAAAGGAGACAGAGTGGGACCAGCAGGTGGCATGGTGGTTAAGGCACAGTTCTCCCACAGCCCACAGTTCGAGTCCTGGACCTGGTAGTTTGCTATCTCACTTTCTCTCTCTCATATACATGCCCTGTAGCAAATTTAAAAATAATAATAATAATAAAATTTAATTTTAATACATATTTTAATATAATAATGAAAAGTAAAGAGACAGAGTAAAAGCAAACATCAAAATGCTGGATAGAATTCTTTTTAAATGCTGCTGATACTGCCAACTTTTGGATCTAAGTCACTAGCTTATAAAGGATGTGAGACTTTTACAAATGCTACTTTAAAAATCAACACAAAAACACAGGAAAGAACTTAATTTCTGAAGGACGTCAATATTGATACTTCAGTATAATCCGCTAGCAGCACACATCCGCTTGCCAAAACTAAATTTATTAGTATTCCATGTGAACTCTTCTCTAACACTATTTTGTTTTTCCCTTAAGAGATTTTAGATTTCTAAAACAATCAAAAATTTAAAGCAAGAACTTGTTATATTCTATTTCTTTTCTTCACATTTACTAAAATTTAGGAGACCTAAAGCAAAACTACTTTTGATTAGTTGGGAGAGTCTGCCACCTAGAGGAAGAAAATATAAATACAAACAAATTTAGGAACTGTTAGTACCACAACATAATGCAATTTTGTGAAATCATGCTAAAATCGAAATATTAATGCTCATATCTATTTTTCTTTATTGACTTTCAACAACTCAATAAAATTAATAAAAAAATCCTATCTAAAATTAGTTTTAAAGTGATGAAATGGGGCCGGCAGGTGGCATGGTGGTTAAAGGTGCTGGATTTCCACATGGCTGACCGCAGTTTGAGTCCTGGACTTGGAGGCTTGCTTTCTCACTTTCCTTTTCTCTCTCTCTCTCTGTCTCTGTCTAGTCAAATTAAAAAATAACAGATGGAATGAAATAAGTAATTGTTTTTAAAAAAGTGATTAAGTGAATTAACTGCATAAATTAATAAATGAGTATAAGTAAAGATATTCTGATATATTAAGTATATCTTAAAAAGGATTAATGGCCAACCAAGTGGTTTGGTGGTTAGGGTGGCTGGATCCCACACGGTCAACTACAACCCTGACACAGGATTGTAGCGTTTGTGCACATGCCCCTGTGTATGCCCAAAAATCCTAAGAGTGGAGAAGGGACAGCAGCGTGGTCATCCTCCCTGGGGGTCCTTTCTTACTTTTTCTCTTCCTGTCTCTGGGGAGCACATGCACCCTATAGCAATATCTAAAAATAATTTTTTTAATAAAAAAATATTCAAAGTAATACAAAAGCTTGCTTAAGTCAGACTGCATTCTGTTATAAGGAATCTCAAAAGGTACTGTGGCTGGGGCCGGCAAGTGGTGTGGTGGTTAAGGCGCTGGATTCCCACACAGCCAACCTTACTTCGAGTTCTGGACCGGGTGACTTGCTTTCTCTCTCTCTCTGGTCAAATTTTAAAATAATAATAAGTAAAATTAAAACAATTCTTTAAAGGCCAGCAAACGGCACAATGGTTACATTGTTAGACTCCCACTTGGCCAATGGTGGTTCAAGTCCCAGAACTAGTGGCCTGAAACTCACTCTAGGCACCTGGTGCATGTGTGCCCAAAATCCTGAGAAGAGAATGGAGGTGAAGGGACTGCAGCATGGAATTTTAAAATAATAATAAGTAAAATTAAAACAATTCTTTAAAGGCCAGCAAACGGCACAATGGTTACATTGTTAGACTCCCACTTGGCCAATGGTGGTTCAAGTCCCAGAACTAGTGGCCTGAAACTCACTCTAGGCACCTGGTGCATGTGTGCCCAAAATCCTGAGAAGAGAATGGAGGTGAAGGGACTGCAGCATGGTCATTCCCTCGGGGCATGATTTCTTACTTTCTGTCTCTGTCTCTCTGTCTCTCCAATGAGCTCATTTGCCCTCTAGCAAAAATCTCTCTAAATGATAATAATACTTTTTTTTTTAAAAAAAGGAAGGCAATGGGAACCAGCAGTTAGCATAATGGCTATGTCGCTGGCCTCCCACGTAGTCGACCGCGGTTCGTGTCCCGGACCCGGTGGCTTAAAACTCACGCCGGGCGTGTGTGCGTGCGTGCCTAAGATCCCGAGAGGAGAATGGAGGAGAAGGGATTTGCGGGGCGACCATCCCCCCTGGGGGGTGATTTCTCACTTTCTGTCTCTATGTCTCTCTCTGTCTGTCTGGCGAGCGCACGCGCCCTACAGTGAAAATCTCTCAAAAAAAAAAAAAGGAAGGCAATATTTGGTTGAGGCAATATTTGGAAAAAAAAAGGAGGGGGGAGGTTACATTTTGGGAAGCATTCTAGGTAAACAAATAGCATAAATCAAAAAATTTTAAATTTAGTATGGAAGATGAAGTGCTACAAAATAGAATCAAAGAATCCCAAAAAAATCTAGTAATAATGATCTAATGAATGTGTTTAGGATAACAGATATTCATGATGAAAAAAGTAAGAGTGACTGAAGCCACTTGTAGTTTCTCACTTTAGCAAATTTTAAACAAGGCACCATGGCACATGCCTGCAATCCCAGGTGAGGTAAGGGTTACAAAGCCTCCCTCAAGAGGCTGAGGCAGGAGGATGGCGAGTTTGAGGCCAGGCTGGGCAATGTAGAGAGGTTCTACCTCTTAAGAATAGGAAGCAAATTTTTAAGGTATGATTTTTAAGGGGAAAAAACATAAAACTTTTACATACTAAAATTCAAAATGAGAAGCAATAGTAATTTTGTAGTACTTATGCAGCAAAATCCATGCTCTCTTTAAGATATTGGTTGTTAAAACGTCTAAAAAATCTTTAAAACACTATATAAATTATTTTTATTATTCCACATTAAAAATAAACACATCAGGGGACCAGCAGATGGCATAATGGCTATGTTGCTGGACACCCACGTGGTCGACTGCCGTTCAGTGCAACTTGAAACTCATGCTGAGCACATGTGCGTGCATACCCCAAATCCCAAGAAGACAATGAAGGAGAAGGGATCATGAAATGGCCATCCCCATAGGGATGATTTCCTGCTGTCTGTTTTTGTTTCTGTCTCTTGGAGAGTGCATGTGTCCTACAGCAAAAATCTCTAACTACTAACTGAATAAGGGCTGGCAGGTGGCAAGGTGGATAAGGGCACTGGAATCCCACATGGCTGACAGTGGTTAGAGTCCTGGACCTGGCAACCTGATTTCTCACTCCCCTCCTTCCCCCTAGCTCTATCCCTCTCTGGTCAAATTAAAATAAATAAGTAAACAAACAGACAGGCAGATCAGAGGGGTTTGGTGTGGTGCAACAGTGAAATGCAATGCCTTGTGAGGCTGACCCATATGGGAAGACTCCAGGCTCATGTTGAGATCTCCCTGGGTATACTGGCCACACAGGTGCCCAGGGATCACGGCGTCAAAGCCCAGTTGGGTTCTGCATCTCTGTCTCACTCTCATACTCATGGAATAAATAAAAACATTTAAAGAATAAAATAATCAGATCTAAATTTATGCCTCAGAACTTTAACTTCATCAACAAATACCCTAAGAATAGTTGTCTTTTATGTCTCCTGTCTTACAAGGTGAAGTATATGCATCAGTTACTAAGATTTCAATTAATTGTGGATTTCACTGGGTCACTATTTTGTTTTCTTTGTGACTACATCATACTTAACAAAAAGCAAGCTAGGATACTAGGGGCTCCATTCATGGTCATAAAAAGATAATTCTAGGGGCAAGCAGGTGGTGTAGTGGTTAAGGTGCTGGACTCCTACATGGCTGACCACAGTTCAAGTACTGGTCCTGGTGTCTTGCTTTCTCGATTTCCCCCTGTGTCTCTCTCATCAAACTGGAAAACAATAATAATAATAAAAAATAAGGTTAAATAAAATAATTCTAAGGAAAAAAACAATGAAAACAAAACAAAACAAAAACCTGCTAGGTTCATGTGAATGGATGCTCAGAATACCAGCAGGATGGAAAAGGGTTGTGGCAAGACCATGCCCTAGTGGGAGGATGCTTTCTCGCTTTTCTTCTGTCGCTCTCTGGCAAGTACACATACCTTCTGGTAATTAAAAAAAGAAAAAGAAACATGTACACAGTACCCCCAGTAACCAGTCACTTCCAATTCCTTCGCACACCCAGGTTGTGAAAATTCCGAGGCAGGCTTTTATCCTGTTTTTTTCTCTTCCACTGTATCTGCTGTTTCAGGCACTTGAGCAATCTATTAACGTTTATTAAACATAAAGCCCTCAAAAAGGATAAAATTGATATGAACCACATTTTTTCACAGTCTTATCACTTAATGGTAAGGTTAAATCATTATGAAGAAAAGAAAACTTTTGTACAAAAGCATTAAGTAGCCCACCAACTTTTCAACTAATGATAAAAACAACACAAGTTTAGGGTAGATTTTGTTCAAATACCTGGCAACTATGGTCAGTATCCAATCCATCCCAGAGACTCATGAACTGAGCTTTCATCATTGCTGTAGCTTCATGGTCAGAACTTGAACGGTTTCGTAGAAAGGAGTCTAGAAGGAAAGGGTCCTTAATTTTAGAAATTAATGAACAGGAATTAGGAAGTCATGTGGTGGTTAAGGTGCTGGACTCCCACATAGCCTATCGTGGTTTGAGGCCCAGACCTGGCGGCTTGCCTCCCTCCTCTCTCTCTCTCTCTCTCTGGTCAAAGTGAAGAATAATAATGAATAAAAATAATATAAAACTAAAAACTACTATATATCTATACCTACCTTTCTGTATTCATACTTTTCATAGCCTACCAGACTACATATAATTACATGAGGGTACTTCATAAAGTTCACGGAAAAAAACAGGACTAAAGTCTGAGTTTATTCTAGTGCAAAATATTTCAACATCTATAGTTTCTGTCATATTATGCATTTTTGTGAGCTTTTAAGACTCCCCTATATAATTCAAAGCTATATTAACTAAAGGTACATAATAGCTATTAAATTAAAGCAATTAAGTAAAGTTACATATATTTATATGCATATATAATTTATTAACCCAGGAATAGAACAAAAATATGTACCCATAAAATATGCAAAGAGTGCACTAAAATAAAAGTCATGACATATGGGAGGATGTCTATTTTATAAGTTGTTTGTCCTTTTGGAAAAGCATGAAATTAGATACCAAACTCACACTACATGTAAATAAAATTTTAAAAGGAGGATATTTATGGAGATAGTGAAGGAATTTGCCAGCCAGATACAAAAACTGTAAATCATAAAGGAAAAACACTGATAAAGATGAATCCATTCAAATTTAAATCATTCTAAAAGTAACTATCATAAAGTGGAAAAACAAGCAGTCTAGAAAAATTGCAGCAATCTTAATAACCATCAACAAAGAATTATCAAGAAAAAATGCAAATAACTCCAAAGGAAAACTGTCAACTTACAAACAAGGAAATCCAAATGGCTAATCAACCCATTAAAAGATGCCCAAATTTGCTATTAAATAAGGAAGCATAAATTAAAAACAATGATGAGATAATTCATGCTCCTTAAATTGACAAAAATTAATGACAATGCCTGAAAAAAGAAATCCTAGCAAATATGCAGGCAAACATAAACTATGTACTGGTGGGAAAAACATAAGTATAATCACTTTTAAGAAGTGGTAACCCTAGTGAGGTTGAAAACGGACACATCACACAACCTAAGCGGGTGATATGTCCAACTTCTAGTTAACTATTTTGGCATACACATACGTGTGAGAAAACTTGTACACAGACATCTACTGCATACTGTTTGTAACTGGAAAAAGATAGAAAAATCTACTAAGTGGGTGAACTATAGTTTCCTCTATGATACAGAAATTATACATAGATTACTAGAATTTTAGTAGTCTTTTGTTTTATTAATATGACCTAAAATGTTAAAAATTAATTTATTTGGGGCCAGCAGGTGGCGTGGTGGTTAGGGGTGCTAGACTCCCACATGGCTGACTGTGGGTTGAGCCCCGGACCTGGTGGCTTGCTTTCTCACTTTCTCTCTCTCTCTCACTCTGTCCCTCTCTGGTCAAATTAAAATAAATAAAGTTAAATAAAATAATTTTTAAAAATTTTGAAACGTTCCCATAGAAAACATACCATACCTATTTCATCTATGAAGATGATAGAAGGTTGTAACTTTATGGCAAGAGAGAAAACAGCAGCGGCTAACTTCTGAGACTCTCCATACCATTTGTCAGTCAGTGTGGAAGGCTGAAGGTTAATAAATCGACAGCCAGCTTCTTTGGCTGTAGCTTTGGCAATCAACGTCTTACCACAGCCTGGGGGTCCATAGAGAAGAACACCTGGAAATTAATGTAATTTTATTATTACCTTTATTTACATTTGCTTTATTTAATTTACATTGTAATCAATATAGTACTAATTCTACCTACCCTAAAAGTTTCAAATACTTGATTCTGCTTTTACTAATCCTTCCACAGTATTGGGTTGTTGGAAAACTCATGATGCATTTTTGCCTAGAAAAACATAGACAGGAAGGTGCCCTGTTCTAAGATCAATGTCAGTGAGGACATACATTTGGGGATTACAGCATCCTATGAGTCCTCCCTTCATGAAAAGATATTGCCAAGATATTAATGGCTATCATCTTTACTTTTTTAAGAGAGTTTTTTTTTTTTTTTTTTTTACTACTACAGGGCAGGTGCACTTGCCAGAGAGACATACAGAGACAGAAAAAAAGAAATCACCCCCTGGGGGTAAGGCCACGCCACAGTCCCTTCTACTCCATTCTCCTGTATGGATTTTGGACACACATGCACATGGCCTGAGTTTTAAGCTGTTAGGTCTGAGACTTGAATTGCAGTCAACTACATGGGAGTTGAGTGACATAATCATTATGCCATCTGCTGGTCCTAGTGGCTATCATCTTGACACCCACACTCATACTAGGTTGTCAATGGCTGATGCTGACATCTGTCAATCACCTGAGGCCCCCCCCATGTTCCCAAGTTCACAGAGCACTATTATAGCACTTTGTTACTAGCCTAGGGAGAGTACACACCTTGAAAACAGACTGCAGTAGGGCTCTCACTGTGATGCACTGGTTAAGTGCTATGCAGAGGAAGCCAGATCCAACATGCCTGGCCAGGCTTAAGTCCCAGCTTCAGTGGCTTGAAAACATTGGGACCAGCAGATGGCATAAGTCCAGTTATGTTGCTGGACTCCCACGTAATCAACTGTGGTTCAAGTCCTGAACCTAGCAGCTTGAAACTCATGCCAGGTGCATGTGCATGTGTATCCAAGATCCCAAGAAGAAAATGGAAGAGAAGAGACTATGGCTCAGCCATCCCCCCTGGGGGAAGATTTCTTGCTTTATGTCTCTCTGTCTCTCTCTGTCTTTCCAGCAAACATATGCGCCCTACAGCAAAAATCTCTCTTAAAGAAAAAAGAAGAAAAATACCCAAGGCATGTCTGTATAGTCCAGGATCCTGACAGGATAGAAAATTTGAGGAAAGGGATTGCAGTGTGACCAGGCCCTGTTGGGGAATGGGTTCTCTCTTTCTCTTTCACTCATGCACCTTGTGGAATAAGGGGAAAAAAAAAAAAAAAGATTGTGGCAAACACCATTTTCCTATTAATCAGAAACTTAAATAGGACCAACATATGGCATAGCAGTTACATTGCTGGACTCCCACGTGGACGACCATGGTTAAAGTCCCGAACCCAGTGGCTTCAAAATCACACCAGGTGCATGTGCATGTGTGCCCAAGATCCCAGGAAGAGAATGGAAAAGGGATTATAGCGTGGTCATTTCTCCTGGAGGATGACTTCTCGTTTTCTATCTCTCTATCTCTCTTGCAAGCAGACATGCCCTAGAGCAAACATCTCTGTCAAAAAAAGTAAAATAAAGTAAGTTAGCCAAAACCACCTGTGCCTTTTACCAAACAGGTGTGAAATAATGGAATTATTTTGAGATGTAACTTCTGGGAAAAAACACCCAAATTTTAGAAGCTGAAGAAGGAGCAATTACTTTTAAAAAAGTTGACAGGATCTCAATGTTCTCTTGAGAATCTGATTTCATGAAAACCAGTCTTATCATGGCAGAAAGTCTCAATGTTTCCTACACTTTTAATTCTTTAGGCAAATATAAATTTTTACAATACCTTTTGGAGGCTGCAGAAGTCTCGAATTCTCAAATAAATGCTTCTTTTTGATAGGTAAGATGACTGTGTCTTTCAGATCTGTAATGACATCATCTAAACCTGCTATATCGCTCCAAGTAACCTGGAAAAATGAAGGTCAACATAAATTCTACTAATGTTCACTCACTCAAGTTCAAAGAAACCTCCCCAAAATGGCACATCTTAATCTGATAATTATACATAAATAAAAGACTAAAAGTATATTTTAATATGAGCAAAGTCTTCACAGCAATAATGAAATTATAAACTGCTATGAGTCTGAAAAAAGGAATTTAATAACCAACTACCTACTACTTAAAAAAAGAAAAAAAGCACTAAGTCAGTCACTTAAAAATCCACAGGGTTGGGGCCAGCAGGTGTCGTGGCAGTTTAGGGCATTGCACTCCCACATGGCCGACCATGGTTCAAGTCCCAGACCTGGCAGTTTGCTTTCTCACTTGCCCTCTCTCTTTCTTGCTCTGTCCCTCTCTGGTCAAATTAAAATAAATAAGTAAATAAATAAAGTTAAATTTAAAAATCCTTTAAAGAAAATCTATGGGGTTTAATAAGGGGAATTCAGGGCTGGCAGGAGGTATACTAGCTAAGGTGCTGGACTCCCACGTGGCCGACCACGGTTGGAGTCCTGGATCTGGTGGCTTGCTTTCTTACTTTCCCTTTCTTTCTCTTTGGTCAAATTAAAAAATCATAATAATAAATAAAATTAAACAAATAATTCTTTAAAAAATAAGGTGAATTCATGTCATTTATGAAGAAATACTCTGCCACAAAATTAAGAACCAGTTCAAACAGTTTAAGCACAGAGAAATGGGGAAGAGGTAACCGGGAATGTATCTATTTTCATATAGGATGCTATCAAATACTGCAGGAATTAATTTTAGAAATTAAGATTTATACACATCAAAATAGACTTCTGAATTCGGTTCAACAGGCCCAACTGCAATGGTTCATACAAAGGACCATGCTTCAGAGAGCAGAAGCCACATGGGCGGCCTAGGTTCAGTTCTGGGGCACACTCTGACCACACCAGGTACTGTTGTGCATGTGTGCAATCCTAGCTAAACGGGAGGCTAGAGAGGGAGGATCACAACACAGTGAAACTACGTTGAAAAAAAAAAAAAACTGATCACTGATCACTGTCTTTCTTCCTCTCTCTCTCTCTCTTTTTCTCTCTCCCTCTCTCCCTCAGCCCCCTTCTCCTCCAACTCGTCTCATGAATGGAGGGGGAGGGAGTAAAACAGTATCAAGACTTATGAAATATTTTTACAAACAGTAAATAAAGTATACATATTTTCCAAATAAACTAGAAAAACCTCTGACTCAACTTTGAAAATTTTTGTTGAAATGCACAGATCGGAAAGGACTTTAAAAAACAAATCGACCTAGCTCTAAACCAGCACAGCAAAGGAACTGAAGAGGGGCCAGTCAGAAACAACACACATAATTTGCTTTCTTTACAACTTAAAAAAGTAAAAAGATACAAACCAGTGGCCAAATCTGAAAAAGAGAGTCATAATTTTCCTTGTAGCTACAAAAGTGAGTCTGAAAGTACAGACTTACTCAGAAATGAGTAGATAGGGCCCCAAGGAGTCACTGTAAATTTATAAGTCAAATTCTAAAGGAAGCTTAAATCTAGCATGTGTATCTATGTATACATAGATGTTAAATGACAATGTACTTTTTTTTTATTTTCTAGATTTGGAATTGGAACTATCATATTACGTTCTACTTATACCAATATAATATTAATGCAGTAAATAAAAATATTCTATCATTTATATTTATACCTGTCATAAAATATTCATACAGGACCTTAGAGTTCATAAATGACATTAATCTGATACTGAAAAGAATCCTTATGAAGTAGGTAGAGCAGGTATTATTATATTATCTCTGGATTATATATGAGGAACTAAGAGTCATAAAAATCATTTGTCAAGGCCATGAATGGAAAAACCATGATTCAGAATCCTTACTGTCTATCATGCCATATTATGAAAATCTATCTATATATTTTTTTTTGGAGAGGTTTTTTTTTTTTTTGCTATAGGGCGTGTGCGCTCGCCAGACAGACAGAGAGAGACATAGAGACAGAAAGCGAGAAATCACCCCCCAGAGGGGATGGTCACGCCGCCATCCCTTCTCCTCCATTCTCCTCTCGGGATCTTGGGCACGCACGCACACGCGCCCGGCGTGAGTTTTAAGCCACCGGGTCCAGAACGCGAGCCGCAGTCGACTAAGTGGGAGGCCAGCGACATAGCCATTACGCTAACTGCTGGTTCCCTGAAAATCTATATTTAAACCCCACAAATCAAACAGTCACATGACTTAAAGCAATATGCTTCATATATCCCAAAGGCAAATATTTACAAAATCTAAGTTTTACTAAACCAACAGGTGTAGAAAGAGTTAAAAGGGTAGGCCTGAGACGGTTATCTTCAGAAAAGCCTACTCCAAGGCTAGCCCTGGGCGGGCATCTGGGAACTTAGATCTCAGGTGAGCTCCCACCCTTCTCTGACAAGAGCTCACTGTGCCTAAATTGTTTGTGCAAATACCACGGCTTGCACTGAATGCCTGTCCTCCTCCTGCGAGTCTAGAATTTGGGTACACATGAGGAAGAAGGAAGCCATATGACTATTTCCCAGTAAAGCCCTGAGCACTCTCTAGCGAACGTCCCTAGAAGACAACACGGGACTTATGTTGTCACAACTTGCTGATGCAATAACCATCAGCAGGGCTGGCAGGTGGCATCGTGGTTAGAGGGGCTCAATTCCCACATGGCTGACCGCAGTTCGAGTCCCAGACCCAGCAGCTTGCTTTTTCCCTTTCCCTTTCTCTCTCTCTGGCCAAATTTAAAAAAATAATAATAATAATAAATGGAATTTAAATAAATAAATAAATAATTCTTTTAAAAAATAATATTAATCATGAACATCTTCCTTCAGAAGTCCATGCCCAGCTCCCTTCAGACTTCACAGCCCCTGCCTTTCTCCTTTTACTGACTTTGTCTTATACCTTTCTGTGGTAGTAAACCGCATCCATGAGTGTGACCATGGGCTGCGTCCTTGGCTTCCCCCTAGAGAATCACTGAGCCTGGTCATAATCTTCAGGACCCTTGGCACAAAGTGCAAGGCCAAACAAAAACAAACAAAAAAATCTTCAGAAAGATTCAAGATACATACATGCATGTTGAGTGGGTCTACTAGATGAGCAGCAATACTCATTTCATATTCTGAAAGCTTCACATTTTTCACACCAATTTGCTTCATTAGTTTTTCTGCCTAGGAAGAGAAGAACAATCAACTCCTTTGGGTCTTGTTTAGTTACCGGCAGTACGGACACGTATGTGGGAGAGGTAAAGAGCAACGGGAGGACATACGAGAATTCCCCGAGGATGTTCCAGCTCCCATGACCTTATCCTTCCCCGCTATGAACACTCAGTTAAAGGAAAGCTCTGCGGATTCACTCCAAGGAAACCAGGACAATTCAGCCAGCTCTCAGGAAATGAGAAAACGGGGTACAGAACTGAAGAGACTGTGTACCTCCCAACAGGGTCTCCACTGTCTCAGAGTACGGTTCAGGGTTTCTCTTTCAAAGTCTGATTATCAGGACAGGTACAGGTGAAGCCTCAAGATAAAAGACTGAGCTAAGGATACCAAGAAATGCACGAGGGAGGTTTCTTCCTTAAATTAGCAGAGCATCCGAAAGAGCTCCAACTTCCCCCAAACTGCCTGGGTGTGTCCATTCATATCTAATGTTACACTGTCCGGAACACACTGCCCCTTCTAAAGTTAATTGCTGGGGCTGGGTAACCAGAGAGAATAACACCAACTCTAATCAGAGGTATATCTGCACATATCCTCGAAGCAGGGAAAAATCAGCATTAAAACTATGAGTTCTAGCAATACATTGTCACTTGGAATTAAAGTAAAAATGATAAACATATACTGAAGGTGCCAAATATTATGCCAACTATAATAAAAAGGTATTAACTCATTGACTCCTTAGAGCAATCCTATGAAGTAGGTGTAATTTTTCTCCTATATGACCAAAAAACCCCACAAGACCTGCAGGTTGGCATGATGCAGTAATGTGCCTTATCAAGGGTAAGCAAAGGGAAGTGGCAAGCGCGGAGTCAAGGAGCCCACCCCGGCCCACATTCTAGCCACCACACACTTGGTCTTCCCAGCATAAGATGGGGATGCGCGCCCACCAGTCATTAAAGTCTACACACACACTCAAGTTTCAGTTACATGGCCACTTCAGAAATGAGGGCACTCTGGTAAATCATGGTTACTGAAATTTTTGTTTCTACATTTTCCTGAAGTGCTTTTAATTATACAGGATCTTGTGTTTTTCAGGGGCACGGCTACCCTAAATGGAAATTCACATTACACAGCATTATCGCTAGACTGGTTAGGATAAATGTGTGCTTACCAGCAGCTTTTTAAAAGAGCACCATGAACCACAAAAAAATAAATCTATTTTTCATCTCCTCACCCCCCTCTCCTATGAAATCACTGAACCAATGAATAAAGTGGCCTTTCCCAGGCTCCTTTCTCTCTTTTAAATATCTTCTCTTTCACAGCCTTTAAATATTTTACACGTCAGATAACAAAGGTGTCTGAACAGCACTGATTCTACGCTTCATCATTATATTGCTATAAGTGCCTCTCACTTGTGATCTTTTTAGGCAAAGCTCTACAACAGTGGTTTTCAACAGGGGTTCATTTTGCCCCTCAGGAGTCACTTGGCAAAGTCAGAAAAATACTTTCAGTTGTCACAGTCAGGGGCAGGAAGGGGATTAAGTGTCTAGTCAGCAGAGAGGCAGGGATGCTGCTGAACATTCTACAGAACAGGGCAGTCCTCCTCCTTCCATCACAAAGAATTATCAGGCCCAAATGCCAGCAATGCTAGAAAAGAGAAACCCTCCTTTTTTCCCTATTAGCTGGTTGCTCTGAAAATTTTACTCTATGCCGTGCTTGCCTCTTGACTTAAATAAGAGCCTTTATTTATAGCTGGAATTTCCAAATAAAAATGATCAATAGTATTGTTTGGTTATAGAGATAGAAAATGCTGTTTGGGCAAGTCTGCCTAGGCTCTCTTTCCTGAAACAGTAGTCCCATTTTAACAATTTCTTCAGGTTGTTTGCTAACCCTGACAGAAAAGGGAAAAAGAACGTCCACTGCACAGCTATCACCAGGCTGGCAATGTGTGGGACACTTCACAACGGACCAGTAAAACCAAACTTACAAATGGCTGAAAACAGCCTTATTTTTCAGATGAGGAACTCAAGGTTAGAGAGATGAAAAGAATTGCCAAGATTATACAGCTAGAAAGTATCATCGCCAGAGTTCAAACCCTCGTCTGTCTTATTTCAAAGCCCACATTCTGCTGAAACACTAATATTCCCTATTTGGGAGAACAGATCACGGTTAACAATGAAATGTTTTTCCATTTATTTGTTAGCACTAAAAAGACACACTGTAACTACCATATGTCCCAGGAACAGTTATCCAGTTATTTTGTTTGACTTTGTTTTTTAAGAGGGAGATTTTTGGAGAGGCAGAGAGAAGGAAGTGAGAAGTCACCTCCCCGCACAGTGTTGATGCCATGCAGCACTCCCTTTTCCGCCAGGGATTTTCGGGCACACATGCATAGGAACCCGACGTGTATTTCAAGCTACCAGGCCTGGGAATCAGACTGTGGTCAGCCATGTGGGAGTCCAACACCTTAACCACTGTGCCACCTGTTAGTCCCCTTGTTCTGACATTTTAAAATGTCTAAGCTGTTTTAACCAGGAAATGATACTGATGATGGCATTATTCTAAGAATGCCTTATATTTACATACTGCTTTTTCATTTATCGCTTAATGATGACCCTATTTTCTGGTCACCCATGTTTGCTTGCTTGCTTTGTACAGTGGGTCTCTTCAAGTCACTGTCTCTGGAGAGAAGATGGTAAACTGGAAAGTACGTGTGGGAGAAGGGTCAAAGATAAGAAGGAGACTTAATTTTGACTGTATACCCATCTTTTTAACTTTTCTATTTTTTACCCTTTCATACCATATTTTCCTCCATGTAAAGTATAATTTTTAAACTAAGAAGTAGGGTAGGAAATAGTGAACTAGCACTTTTGCCTGGAGTGAGAAAGAAAGAAATGGGGAAAAGCAGCTACAGAAAAAAAAAAGAAATTATGAGGTAACCCTGAAAGATTCATTAGAATTGACTATCCTAGGACCAGCAGATGGTGTAGTGGTCGCATCGCTGAACTCCCATAGGCTGACTGCAGTTAAGGTCCCGGACCCAGTAGCTTGAAACTCACGTTGGGCATGTGTGTGTGTGTGTGTGTGTGTGTGCCCAAAATCCCAAGAGGAGAATGGAGAAAAAGGGACTGCAGTATGGCCATCTCCCTTGGGAGGTGATTTCTCATTTTCTGACTCTTTGTCTCTCTGGAGAGGGCATGCACCTATAACCAAATAATCTTTAAGAAAAAACAAATAAATAAAAACCCAATTGTCCTTGGGCCAGTCGGTGGCATGGTGGGTAAGGTACTGGATCCCACATAGCTATCTGTAAAGTTCAAGCCCAGGGCCTGGTGGCTTGAAAAACATGCTAGGTCTATGTGCCTGGGTACATGCATGCCCAAAAATCCCAAGGCGAGGATGGCAGAGAAGGGATTGTATTACAGCCATAATCTCTGGGGCAGGATTTCTCCCTTTTCCTTTCTCTCTGACTCTCCTTGGTGAGCACATGCACCCTATGGCAAAAATCTAAAAACAAACACAAAAATGACTCTCCTTTTGGAAAACTGAATTCTAGAAAGTTAGATATGGCATTAACAAGAGTGAAAAAAACGAGATGAACTAATTAAACAAGGACAATCTGACCCTTTTACTGAAGTCAGCGCTGACATACTCCAATTAAAGTGTAGGTTGAGGACATCGCTGATACCAGGCTTTTTAAAAATGCATTTAGGGCTGGCGAATAAAGCCGTGGTTAAGCGTAGGGAGAATAGGGAGGTGGGTCACACATGGCCAACTGAGGTTGAGTCCTGATGTCAGGACACATGTGTGTGAATGCCCGGGATTTTGATGGGATGGAGACAGGGAGGTAAAGACTGTGGCATGACCTTGCCCCACTGGGGAGGCACACACACATTCTCTCTCTCTCTCTCTGGCAATAATCATCATCTAAATAGGAACTAGCAAAGAATTTGAGTAATTATCTTTATACATCAGCTATAAGCCCTGCCACGAACTTACCTTAACTCTCTAGAAACCCCCTTTACTAGACGCATGGAGACCGCCATTTTCTCCCTCAGGGCTAGTGATTCCATCTCTTTCCTGATTTGACCCTGTGTACTCTGAAAGCGCTCAGGGAGAGGACTGCACAGCAGCCCGCTCGAGCTCCGCCCGGGTGTAAAGCACAGCACTGTCCTGTTTGTTTCCTCCTCCAGGCTCCCTCTTCACGCTTTTCTTTTTCAGAACGTCATCCTTCCTTGCCTACCTGGCTAATACTAACTGATTATTCCTTACTGATTCCTTATCTCAATTCCCAGATCTAGTTCAGCCTCTTGGTCTTCTCGGATTCAGCTCCAGCGAACCACAGCGTTAAAAGCCACTCGACTGGCAATGCAGTTCACAATGGCTCTCTGGTATTAAACATTAGCTCCTCTGAACTGGTATTCTATGGCAGCTCTTAAAATCCAGTTCAGTTTAAGGTTTCAGTATATCACGGTTTATAAAATATTTCAGCTATTTCCCTGAAAATAACAGAAATAAACTTATGAAGACTATGTTAGTCAAGACAAAAAATATAGGAAGACATTAAGTTAAAGAACTAAGGTCCCAGTATATGACTGGGACCTTAGTTATACAGTCTAATTAATATGCTAAACAACATACTGAATTTATAAATGCCCAGAACAGATCAGGCATAAGTTATACACTCTGTACTTTAAAGCTCTTAAATAAGAGTACACGTATCTATTCAATGGAACTCACCTTTCATCACAGACATACATATGACATCTAAACATGATCCAAGTAGCAGCATGTGCCCGGAAAATCCCTGTACCAGGAAACACTCTGCTAAAAAACCATTTCCTCTCTCATTATCAATGAAATGTCTCACTTCTCATAAGACCGTAAGTTTTCTTGGCTTTGGAGTAGAAAGTATTTGTAAATATCCCATTTAATCCAACACAAAACTACTTCCAGGTTACTATTCCTGATTTGAATACAACTATGTCACTTTTCATCTTGAAACTGTGTTGCCCTTGGGGCCACATGGCCGATCATGGTTCAAGTAGTGGACTCAGCAGCTCAAAAAGCACAAAGGGTGCATGTGTGTGCATACCCAAAAATCCTGAGAAGAAAATGGAGCAGGGATCCTGGTATCACCATCACCCCCCAGGGGGCTGACTTCTCACTTGCCCTCTTGCTCTCTTTCTCTCTCTCTCTCCTGCAAGCACTAGAGGCATACATGCCCTATAGCTGAAAAATAAATAAATAAATCAATAGTCATTCTTGGGCTAGCCCCATGGATTGGTGGTTAAGGGAGTCAGATCCCACATGGCCCTGCACAGTCTGAGTCAGGGTCTGGGAGACTTGAAAAACAAACTGGGCTCATGTGCACGTCTGCCTGAAACTGCAACAGGATGGAGAAATAGGGAAGGAATTACAGCATGATCATACCCCAAGTGGGTGCTTTCTCTGTCTCTCTCTCTCTGGCACATGCCCTATGGCAATTTTTTTTTTTAGAGGTTTTTGCTATAGGGCATAAGCGCCTGCTAGAAAGACAGAGAGAGACAGAGAGACAGAAAGTGAGAAATCATTCCCCAGGGGGGATGGCCACGCCACAATCTCTTCTCCTCCATTCTCCTCTCGGGATCTTGGGCACGCATGCACACGCGCCCAGCGTGAGTTTAAGCTACCAGGTCCAAACCGCAGTCAACTACATGGGCGTCCAGCAACATAGTCATTACACTAACTGCTGGTCCCTGGCAAATTTTTTTTAAAAAGCAATTCTTTAATTAGATTTTATTGTTATAAGTCTGACAGCTTATCCCTATTTTCCATATATCAAATGTCATACAAAGCAAAAGTTACTATCATTACTGAGCATAAATATTTGTTTAGTCTGCTGAAAAATTTTATCTAGATTCCTTCATTTACAAGCTGACAAAAAATTAAAATGAGGATATTCACAAAATACTGTATTTTTATTAGTCATATTTTTTCTTCAGCTAAGTTGCTTACATAGTAAAAAAATGATTTAATAGGACCAGCAGGTGATGTAGTGGTTGGGGGTGCTGGATTCCCACATGACCAACAGCGGTTCGAGTCCCAGACTTGGCAACTTGCTTTCTCACCACCCCCTCCACCCCCACCGGTCTCTGGTCAAACTAAAAAAAAAAATAACAACAAATGGAATTAAATAAATAAATAATTATTTTTTAAAATGATTTAATAAACTAATACAATAACAAAATTTAATATGAAATTAAACATGTGTACACTTTCACAGACATCTTATAGAACTTATCGTTAATTTGTAATTCTACTATAGTCTTAGTTTTGAGAAAAAATATTTGCTATCCACAAGAAAAATGATCTCCAAACATTTCAATCATACCTGTTTTTGAGCTTCTACTTTTTGCTTTCTGGTTGGATCAATTGCATCTACCATCCATTTGATAGTAAAGTATGTTACTGCACCAAATATTGTCAAACGGAAAATTAAACCGACAACTTCATTCCGACTCAAGGGGCGAGAAAAAGCTTCAGCGTGTACCATCTTGATGGTTAACCTTAAAAACAAACAGAAATATCACTAAGTAATAACTACACTTTAAAACTGGGAGACTGACAAAGTAGTTAAACTAAGATAAACTAATTTCTAGTAGAATGAACGTATCGCCTACCTTAAAAAAGTGTTTTGATGTAAAGATAAATGGATTTTTAATTGGTAAGTAAACAAATGCATTTAAAGCTCATCTTGGAAACTGATGCAGATTAGAAATTGAAGATTACATAGTAGAATTAATAATTCTGTTTGAAAAATACAGTTCATATCTTAAGGCATTCACTCTTTCAAAGAGCTTTTAAATAACTATTTCAGGGAGTTAAGAAAAATAGGAAAGGGAGACCAACAATAAAATACTAGTGTGATGGGAAAAATCTTTTCTGTAAGTATAATATATACCAGGTAATTTTGGAAAGTGAAATTCAAAGTATGAGCTAACTTAGTGAGAGCTTTTTCCTTAGACCTACTATTAAAGGTTTTGAAGCTGCTAAAATTTAAGCATACCATTTTATCAATTAATAGGTGACATTCAATTTTTTAACTTATTTTTATCATTATTTTATACATCCAATCACTACACATCATTTAGTTTATAGAATGTATCCAACTCAGATCAGTCCAGTTGAGAATACTATATACTTTATCATCAACAGGTAAGTGACTTTAAATTTGAGCCAACTTATTACTGCCAACAACCCAATTAAATTTGAAGCATTAGAACCTTTAAATATTGGGAACTAAGAAAACTACACAACACAGCAGACACCCAAGATACAAAGGAAAAAGAAAGGCAATGTACCTACTTTTACATATGCTCCAGTTACACCAACCACAGGAAACAAATTCCACTCCTGACCTCATGTGACAGGTCACAGTTAACAGGCTGCAGTACAGAGGGCCAGATGGTGACACAGAGGTAAGTCGTGACACTGTAAGGCATACCCACATGGTAAGGTTGCCAATTCATGTCAAGACCTGAGACTGCTAGGCACATGTGTACCAGTGATCCCGGTTGGCTGAAGCTGGGGGGTGAGTGGATAGTGGCACTGAGCCCCCTGAGGGTGCTCTCTCTCTCACTCACTCATGGAATAAACTTAAAGAAAATAAAGACTGCAATGTTGTGTAAAATTACTTTCAGGCTATGTGCATAAGACGTATATGGGGGCCAGCAGGTAGCATCATGGTTAAGGGCACTGGACTCCCACATGGCCTACCATGGATAGAGTCCCAGACCTGGCAGCTTCTTTCTCACTCCCCCCCCTCGCTCCTTTCCCCTTTTCCCTTCTTTCCCTTTTTTCTCTGTCCCTCTAGGGTCAAATTAAAGTTAAATAAAATAATTCTTAAAAAAAAAAAAGACATATATGAAAAATAATGAACTTGGTGTTTAGATTTGGATCCTGTTCCCAGGATATTTATGTATATCCCCAAATCTCACTTCTAAACACTTCTGGTCCCAAGCATTTCAGATAAAGAATATTCATCCTCCCTAATCAAAAGACCCTAAAGTTTTCCCTTTACAGGATTCCCAAGCCTTCAATATTATCTTATTTCCAAGGAGTCTCTTTCAAGTATTTTATCTCTCACCCCTTCTCAATTGGAACTCAAAAGCTACAGTCAATGGCAACTATAAAATGCTATGCTATTTTCCTTCTGTATTCTTGCTTGGTACCTTGTGAGATATTTCCCCTCGGTCATCTAGGATTAGTTAAATTCTATCCAAACTTCCCAAAACAACTTTATCCGCTCCATGAAGTCTCTGAGACCACTTCATCCTCTATATTATTCACTTGGCCCTATTATACTATCACAAGAACGGTCTTATTTTTTAATATTTTTTTAACTTAAGGTATCTATTCTGCTCAAAAAGAGTTTAATTTCTTATAAACAAGCTTTATATCTTATCCCTATTTTATAAATGTCACACACAAGACAAAGGCTATTCAACAACTATCTCTTTGATAGATAAACTGCAAGTGAAGCAAAACCTCCCATTCCAACAGAGTCACTGCCAGATTTCTCAAGCATTTCCAAGTCAAGGCCCATAATTCATTACTAGGAGCCATTCACTTTGCAATAATTAACACTATTTAACTTAAACAACTAGATTAAAAAAAAACAAACTTTTATTTCAAATCAAGACACTGTGACCTAGGGACAGACATTAAGTGATTTATTTAATTAGCACTATCAGACATCCATATAATAATGCCTACTAGTTACTGGATATATTGGGTTGTCACGATGCAGGGACCAGCAGGTGGCGTGGTGGTTGGGGCACTGGACTGACCACGATTCACACCCTAGATCTGGTGGCTTGCTTTCTCACTTTCCTTCTCTCTGTGTGTGTGTGTGTGTGTGTGTCTCCCACTGGTCAAATTAAAATAAATGAATGAATAAATAAAATTAAATAAATAATTCTTTAAAAAAAGAGTCATGATGCACTTTTTGCATAGAAAAATACATTGTGACATTTCTGATGTCTAGATACAATAATGGCTATGAAACAATGAACTTTACTAAAGAAACACACTAATTACTGTATTGATTATTTTAAAAAAATTAAAAAGCTGGGAGAAGCCACCTAACTAAAATTGCTTCTCATGTAATAAATCTAAATGTGTTTTCTCCCATTAGGGCAGGTTAAAAATAAATGAATTACACAATATTTCACTCCTCAGAAGGAAAAAAGTGGCTTTTCTAGTTTTTATTCCAAGACAGTAAGGGTGAAAATGCAATTGGAATGTGTGCTATCATTATGTGGGGTATTACACTAAATGAAAATAACCCAATAGGCAAGATAAAGCTTTTATTAATTGAATGTGAAAAGTGGTGATACTCCAGTAAAATGCTTTGTTTAAAGTTTGAGTTGTTAGTGATAACTGCCATCTACTGGATATTCATTGAACTACATGAACAAATTAGGGCTCTTATCAGCAGATACCAAAACTGTGCGAGAAAAATTTTTTTATCCTATGCCAAAAGGTCAAAACACAAAACCCATTTATATATTTTTCTATTCTGACGTTATTCACTGTAGTACAGTACAGACTTAGGTCTACTAAGGTCACTTCTAAAACAGCAGTCTATTTTTTTTGATGACTTCAAAATCCTGAAATGAAACTGAAACTTTGGTAAACTTTAATTGTGTGCACGTGATTGTACATTCAGCGTCCTCCACATGGGCTGACTATACCCGTAACGTAAGGCTGTTATAGTAACAATACCATTACAACAAAATACACAGCGCGAGGTGTATGTACACCCAGGAGGGAACGCAGTTCAATCCTGTGTAGTCTGATTCAACCAAAGGAACGCACACCTAAGAGCGTAGACACCGATAGCGCGATGTACAACTAAGAGACGTCGCAGAACACTGTGATTTACTGATATTTGCAAACTGACACCAGGCAGTTCTGATTTAAGAAAGTATTTCAGGGAGGAAACTTTGAAATCGTGCTACCTCGTCTATGAGCAATGCATGGACAGGTTACTGGCCTGGAGTACAGCGTCCACACTGCAGTTTTTCCTCTCCTGATTCGCTGCAGTGTTTTACCAAGGGTTTCTCAAACTTACCTAGTTTCGCTGACATGAAGACTCTACATAATACAGCTTAGGGCAAAGAATGCCTGCCCACCTTCCATAGGGGACAGATTATTAGTAACATCACCATCGCCTGCGAAAGCTTGCCCATCCCAAAGAACCACTTCGGCTTTTGCACAAGGGGGTAACAGCTCGAGTGCGACAATCAGACCTGGTTCATTCCGGCTGTCTTGGCCTAAGAGCCAGTTCCTGGGATCGCACAGGACGATCGGCAGCCCCACAGCGACCAGGCTGCCTACACCGAGTCCTTCGGGAATGACCCAACTCTTAGGGGCAGCGGTAGCGGAGACCTGACGGCAGGTGGGGCCGGAAGCCAAGGCGAGGCCCGGGACGCCCTTGGAGGTTAATCCGCTCGGTGCTAGGGGCTGGAGGCGCTGGGGGGCGGCACTGAGGCGGTGTGGGAGGAAGGCCAGGCGACCTTTCCCGTGGCCTGCTCAGATCCGAGCCCGTCCCTAAGCGGACTCAGCGGGATCCTGCACCCGCCCCAGGACGCCCGGAGGGAAGACGCTACTCACCCCGG